AAGGTGTGGGAGAATTCCTGCCAACAGGCCCCGCCTCCCTCCTGCAGGTGGGGCTGGAGCTGGGAGAGCGGAGAAGCAAGAGAAAAAAATATCCCAAATCAGGGGAGAAGCAAAGAAATACTTATTCCTATGAAAAGAAGGGAGAGTAACCCAAACCATGAGAGGGAAAGCTGTTTCATGGTTGATCACATTCATCTGGCTGATAATTTGGAAGGGGGAGGGTTAGTTGGACAAGAAGAAAATTCGATTCTGCGATGGTCCCACCTCTTTGCTCTGCAGGGCTGTGGCCCTGGGAGGGTCCTCACCTATCTCCCCACAGTCTTCTTATTTTGCACAACTTCTCACGGGTTGTGCTGGAAAGTAGTCCATTGTCTCACAGAAGTGCCCCCACAGAGAGGCGACAACCCTCCCTTCCTCTCCCTGGGGGGAGCATTCCTTCATCCTCAAGCCCACGCAGGAGACCAGCCCCCACGTGACTTGGCGCAGCTGAGCCCGTTTTCATGACTCCTTTGGTCCCAACGTTTCTCCTTGAGCTTCCTGTTTCCTGAAGCAGTTCTGATGAAGAAACCCAGGGAGTGAAACTTATTTCCCTCAGATCTTGGGTTTTATAAGCAGCCTTAGCAAGAGGCAGTGCCTATCGTGGCCTGGGTGACAAGAGGCAGGTAGAGACAAGGGCCTGGCTGTGAGCTTCAGATCCCAGCTCTGTCACTTACCAGCAATACAGCTGCTGTGACTCAACTTTCTGTTCTGTAAAATGGGCACGACGCTGGCACCTCCCTCAGAAGGGCCTGGGAGAATGTGGCAGGTGATCCGTGTTAACATGTGTGAGGTAGTGAAACAACCTGTCGGAAGCACCCTATAAACATCAACTCTGACAATTACTACTTGCTTATGGCTCGTACTAGCTGAAGCTTACTTTTCAGTGCCAACCACCACTTACCACGTGCCATAAAAACGCCTGTGGCTTGGTCTAGAGAATGACTCTGAGGAAGGATGGGAATGGGAGGACCCAGTGTGCCTAGGCGTCCTCTCCACCTCGCCCACCTAGCCTGGTGCCCCACCCCAGGGCCCGCAGCCTCCTTGAATATTAATGAGGCCCTTTGTTGTTAGAGCCTGTGTTTTCTGCCAGATATCCTCTCTTTCTTCAGCCTTCTCAACCCTGTAAAGCAACTATGATTTTATGGACTGGGCCATGTTTAGGGATTTGGAAACTGGCTGTCCTCTCTGGTAGCAAGGGGCAAGAGGGGGTCACTCTTCATGTCACTGGGTCTGATGCCTCAAACCCCAGTGCTTGGAGCCCCTCATTGTCCCTTCCTTTGGGGGCGGGGTGTCAGACTGGATTTGCTCCCTTGTGTTTGGCTGGCTGGGTTGCAGAGGGCACAGTAGAGTCACACTGCACACTCTGGGCAGAACTAAAGCCCGTGTTGTCAGCATATTCACGGCGTCTTCTACTGTATGCCCTGTTGAGATCATGGGACACCCCCTTGAGAAGTTGCTGCGGGGGGGGTCAAAGGGCGGGACTGGAGCTGGTCCCGTCGCCACCTACTGGTGCCACAGGGGCTGCAGGACAGGGAAGACACCATGGCCCTGGCTGCAGATGCCAGTGCCCATGAGGACGCTGGGTGAATGGCTGCATTTTTGGTTACAAACCTCTCTCTCTCTCTCTCTCTCTCTCTGTCCAGAGTCCATCTTTGGCAAAGGCTGGCAGTGGAGCCCCATTGAGGCAAAGGCTCCCCAGGTCAGCCACCACCTCAGAGTCTACACTCCAAGGTGCTTCCCCTGCTGTAACCTGGGCCGGGTTTTGGATCTTCAGGCTCAACCCTTCTCTGGCCTCGAAGGTCAGGGGCAGAGTGAGCCTGGAAATCCTGATGGATGGGCTTACATCTATATATAAAAGACTAGTATGCTAAGTGTCCATCCAGGTAATGGCATCACGTAGCAATGCCCGGCTTCCTCTCCCTAGCGACTGGCCTCCTTGCAGTTTCTTCAGCCCAGGAACATGACTTGCTTTATAGCCAGGTGGAAACATTTCACACTTTAACCAAATGTCTGTGAAGTGTTTTCCCTTGCCTCATCTCATTTGATCCTCACAGAAGTCCTGGAGTAGATAAATAGGAGACTCGGTGGTGGAATCCTATTTTCTTTTCATCAGCCAGAAAACGGAGATTTAGAAAGCTTAGAAACTTGACCTGACTGAAAAGAAGTAAGAAATGGTGGACCTTGAAAATAACTTCACGTTTTCTCACTGTGCAAAATATAGTCAAACACTGCTGCAGCTAAATATTTTACCCTTTGTTCTCCCTGTGAGATCTACAATAATAATCTGCTTCGTGTTGATATTTGCTGCTGTGTTGCAGACAATTACCTGGCAGAGAAGTTTGCTTCACTGGGCTGGGAAAGGTTTAGCTACATCAGAAAGCAGGTCTAATTAAGCAAGTTTATCTATCTATCTATCTATAAAGCTCTCGCTGGTGCCAATCGCACACGTGTGTTTCCATCTGTCATTATTGATTGTGAATTTGGTTGACACTTCTATTATAGAGAAAGGGTGAATAGCAATGTTAAAATATTTCTTCTAATTACTTTCCTTTCAATGTGCCCGAATTCGTGCGGCGGGCCACTAGTCTATGAGTCAGATCAGACCAGCTGCAAAAGGAGAGCAGCTTTTCAGAGTACTTATAGTGGCCATACCCTGCAACAGGGACATCAGTGTTAAACCAAAAATAATCAATAAAGAAATTTAAAAAAATAAAGCACACAAAAATCAAGGGGAAAATAATAAAATTATTTAATGAGTAATTGAAAATTTTAATTAGCTAATGTTTATATCAGGTTAGAACCCCACCATGTATCATGTAAATGAAAAATAAATTAATTGAATTAGAAACATCTAAAATAAAAAGAGCATACTGGCTTCTCACACCGTGGCTGCGGCAGGAGCCCCAGGCTGCCTCTGTCTGCGGACACTGTTCAGCACACGGGCTCCCAGGCAGCACCAGCACAGAATGGCCTCCAGTGGGGCCGGGAAACAGCTGGATATGGTAGGGCTTTGGGTTTCATTTTGTTTTGGATTTTTCTCCTTTCTCAGGAAACATCAGTCGGGGAAGAGAGCAGGCGAAGGAAGATGCCTTCTATTGCGTCAGTAATGAGGCTTCTTTTATTAGCAGACTTCACTTTTTCCTGCAGTTTTAGGTTTACAGAAAAATTGAGCAGAAATAGAGTCGCCAACTAGTTCCTGCTGCCCCAGTTTTCTGCTTTAGCGTCTTGAGTTGGTGCATTGGGTACAATTGACGAGGCCATACTGGCGCACGATTATTAAGTAAAGTCCGTAGTTTACTGAGTGTTTACTCTCGGTATTACACATTCTGTGTGCTTTGACAAATGCAGGATGTCACATACCCACCATCCAGCGTCATACAGAAGGGCCTCACTGCCCTAAAAAAATCCCCTGTAGGGCCCAGCCGTTGTGACTCAGTGGTTGAGTATTGACCTATGAACCAGGAGGTCACAGTTCAATTCCCGGTCAGGGCACATGCCTAGATTACAGGCTCGACCCCCAGTGTGGGGCATGCAGGAAGTAGTCAATCAATGATTCTCTTTCGTCATTGATGTTTCTCTCTCTCTCTCCCTTCCTCTCTGAAATCAATAAAAATATATTTTAAAAAAATCCCCCGTGGGAATAAAATTTTAAATCAACTTAGAAAATCAGAGTTGTAAAAATACCCTAGTAATTGGACAGCCCAATGAGCATGCAAACAACATCCCATTATCCAGGCCCTGGCTGCCAGGACGCTCCCCTCCCCCGCTCCCTTCCCCCCCGTGTGGGTGTGTCAGGGCCAGAACTTGGCTAGGGAAGGAGTGGAGAATAATCCGAGTGCACGTGTATATAATAATGCTAGTGTATATACATGCTTTTATAAAAAAGGAATGACCATGGGATGCATGTGCTGGCCACTGAGTAGGGCCAGCTCTCCCTCCTGGATTTAGGACTTGCCGATGGGGGTGCAGGGGGCTTGTTAATTCCGGTCTACAAAGCATTTGCTGTCGACATGTTGTCACACGAGTGTCAGTGCCAGAGGCCAGCTCGGAGCTGGTGCGGCCCTAACGGGATGGGCGGGAGGCAGTGCTCCCTCCCGGCTCTGCTCCTTCTCGCTGACACGTCTGTTGCCGAAACGTGTCCTCCCTCCCCGGGCAGGGACTGTGTGAGCTCCGAGCCGCCGGCAGTCTTGGCCTCTGGGATCCAGAGATAACAAAGCTCTCTTGCTTTCTGGGGGTTCAAGCGAAGTGAGCGGTGGCCTGGCCAAGTCCCGGGACAAAGTGTGCTCTGAGGCCCACCCGGCAGTGGCCCGCTGGACTGGCCACTCGCCGCTCCGGGCGGCGGGCACGTCTTCCGGGAGAGCCGAGAAGCCGGGCTTGTGCTGGCCTCCGCTCTCAAACAGACCTCACAGGCGCCCGCTCCAAGCTGGAGGGTCCCCGAAGACATTTGTGTATAAAAAGGGCCCTATTGTGTCGCCGGTGCCTGACTGATTTGCTCTAGTTCAGAATTCTCTGCCGCGTGGGGGTGTATGTGTGGGGGGGATGAGTGGGGGGGTGCTCTGAGATGCGGGTGCTGATGGCTTCCTTTGGTGGCCACAGATGGTGGGGGCAGCGTCCATGTCATTCTCTAAAATGCCTCTTTGCCCCAGAGGCATCCATCGCTCTGCCATGTCTCCTTGCGCTCCCTGGCTCTGGTGTCGACGAGGTGAAATTCTGACCTGTCATTTGTTCCTAAGGACGTGCAAACGCGGCCTCGCTGGATTCCTTTAGGCGGCTGCTGTGCCGCTAGCCAGTCGGCTCAAATCTGCCCTTAGGATCGCGGGGTCTTTTTGAGAACTGCTCTTGGCTGCCAAAATGGTTCTAAATATATTAAAAGTAGGTTAACTTACTGTGTTCCCTGCATTTATTCTTCCAGCTGAAATTTTCCTGACTTTTTTTCCCCCCTTTCGTTTTATTAGGTTAATAAAACTTGGTTTTCGAGCATTTCTCTGCCCCAGGAGGGCAATGGGCCCCACGTCCAATTCATCAAGTGCCTAATGAGTGGCCTCGGAGGTCCCGGCCCATCCATTCCAGAAGCTCCCTGCCTCGTAAAGGTGAGGCCTATGGGCTGCTCTGTATATTTTGTCTGTTGGTTTCCCAAATTCTCCTGCCAGCTCTACTGTCACTTTCCAGGATTTATAGGAGGCCGACGGCACCGCGGGGGCTCCCTCTGCAGCAGGCCCCCCGCCCCTGCCCGCTCCTCACACGCACCACACACTCCGTGCCATAAAATAACGGTTCTGCAATAAAATGAAATAGAAATGTGTCGATGCTAGCATTTTAGAACATTCCAGCAAAAGGGCTGTGGGAAATGCCTTCGTTTACATTAAGGAGGGAAGCTCTGTGAGAGCGAGGGGGAAAACAGTGCAAGAAAAGGCCGTAGTAAAAAGAGACAGCCTGGTATTTAAAGTAAATAAATTTTTAAAAAGTCGTGTTTGTGTGTGTGCATTGTGTGCAGTCTCTAAACTGTTTTTTCACATATGCATACATCTCCCCTGGTTAATTTTTGGTGTTTTGGAGAAAGACCAGGGAAAGAAAAGGTGGATGTCACTTGCCTTCTGGGCCCGGGGTCTGGGCGCTCTCGCCTTCTAGAACGTTCTACCTTTTCCTCCCCTGCAGGCTCTCTGGCCTTGGCCCAGGTGTCAGGATCCTGCCAGCTCCAGGCTGGGGGCTGTGTCTGCCCCGACTTGGATGGAAAACTGGAATCTGAGCAACCGTGAGCTCCAGGTACACACGCTAGCGGGCGGCCGGGAAAGGAAGGGACCTCGACGGGAGCTTGTGGGGTGGGGCAGCCGCTAGGTTGTGGGGTGCCAGAGGCCTCCCAGATTTCCACACAGCAGCCCAGCCTTGCCAGCATTTGCAACGAGTGTCCTGGCTCCTCTTCTCTGCTCTGAGCCTCCAGAAAGCGCCTGGCCTTTAATTAACTGCACTCTCCAGGGGCATGCGCCGTCGCTAATAAATTACTCTATATGACCTGTAACTTTTTCTTCCCTTCCTCCCAGCCGCTAGCCTGGAGCTGGGGAGGGAAGGGGCACGGAGGGGAGGTTTTGCTTGCTCTGTGAGCGGGAAAAGGGAAACGCTGAAGCTGTCCCAGGCCGTTCTCTGCCATGCCCTCTGTGTCTTATCAGCCCGTGGCCCCAGAGCCAGGTGACAGACCCGTCCAAACAATTGGCTGGGACTTGGGGGACCTCTTTTAACACGTGGGAGGTGGACCCGGGGCTGGGGGCAGTGGCGAGGATGGCTGTGGATCGCAGGGTTCTGGAAGGTCTCTGAGGTGCAGGGGTGTGTTCATGGCCACTCATCACGGGGGCCGGGGGAAGAGGACGGAGCCCAGGCAGCACCTCTGCTCTCCAACGCGGGGAGACACAATGTAAACTGCACCTCACGCAGGAGGGACCTCCAAGTGTCCACCTGCCCCAGAGCTGGGGCCCAGCTTCGTGCGCCCTCCGACGTGCCTCCTGGGCCGGGATTTCACGGCTGCGTGTCGGTGGCCGAGCATCCACACAGGGAGGCCATGCCCCTGGAGCCCCTCAGCTAGGACTGGCCTTTCTCACGTTGTCTCCATTTCCTCTCCGGGCGCTGGGGCTCGGCTCCTGAGCCGAACTCCTCACCGAGAGCCCCCCCTGCTCCCCGCGCGCCCCTCTTACCGGCACTCATCATGCATTAGTTTATCTTCTGAAAATATACTTGGAAGGGTTTTTGTTTTGTTTTGTTTCCCTGCTTGACACTGTTGAATAAAATAGGCCATTTATCTCTCAGGCAGAAGAATTTCAGCAGTTACACTTCACCCTGGCAAGAGGATGGTAGGCTCAATGCGGAGAGGTGGTTAAAAATTTTTTTCGTCGCGCGTTTATTCTTGTCTCAGCTTTCCCCCCCAAGCTTTGCAGCTTTTCGCCCCTCTCCCTAACTAATCCTCCCAACTGCACACCCCTCCCTCCCCCCATGGATCCAGCCCACCTCCAGCTCCTCAGCCTGAAAGGAGCATTCATGCCTGGGCCATCTGTTTGTTTAAACTCACCCTGTGTTAGTCCATGTGAAATGCAACAGAATGGAGAAAAATGCAATTCTCTGTCGGCTTTTGATCAAAGAGAAGTTTAAAAAAAATTCGAGGTGGATTTCTGAAGGACAATGTTATACACATTCCGTGTGTTTCTGAGCTTCAGCGTTTAGTGGATTTGGGGGGGGTCAATCTTTTTCCCCCCCTTTTGATCCCAGGGAGAAAAACTCGCACAAAAAACACCTCTCGGCACCACAAACATCGCAGGACGGGCGCTTTCTTTCCGACTCCCCAGCTGCAAAGTGGAAGGACATTGCCTTTTAATTCATCAACAACACGAGGGAATTTGAAATATGGCTCGACTGCCGCGTGCAGACTTTTGCTTGCTCCTGTGAGAATTCCAGGGGCAGTCACTCGCGTCTGGGGCTAATTCAGGACCCAGGATGCTCACCCCATTGCTCAGAAACACACACACGTCCTTGCTCACTTCATCGATCTCCATTTCACGGCCCCTCATTGCGTGTGCATTTCTCCCCTCACTCCCTCAGCTTCGGAGCGAATGCAAATAAAACGCTTAAAATGGTTAACATTTCCTGTCACTGAAGGCATGCATTAGGGGTGGGGGTCGCTGAGTTTTAAAGTGGATTTTCATAGGAAAACTCACTTCAGATCTGAGGCAGGAACTCGGATGGGTTCGCACAGAGAATTTCGGGGTTTGCGAGAAGCCTAAATTTATCGCCGTCATTCAAGTGATCCTTGACAGGACGTGGATGCCGAAGAGCAAATATCCAATTCGAACTTAGATTAACCTGGGGCCCAGCTCAGGTCACGGGAAAAAAAAAATTAAAATGTGTTCTTGCCCCCCACCCACCTTGACTCATTTTCTTTTTATTGGAGGAAAAAAAAAAAAACAACCTAAAATATGGTCTTTTAATTTATTGTGTTTTCTCTATTGATTGTTTAGCTAGTGATTTTGCCAACTTCCTGGATGTTCGTTCCTGGTCCTGCACCAAACAGCCCCATTTCCTTTTGGAACCGGGACCGGGACAGAGGCGGCGGCAGACACGGGACGTTGTGAGTACTCCGTGGTCCTTCTCCCGCGTCGCCCTGACCCCGTGTCCCCTCCGGTCCCGTCCTGCCTCCCTCTCTTTATCTCCCAGTTAACGTTCCCGGAGCTCGGAGCTCGCCCGACCTCTCGCTGTCAGCCCTCAGCACCAAAGTCTCCACTT